AAGGAAGGAACGAACGAACGAGCGAACGAACGAACGAAGTTTTTTTCTGAACTTTATCATCACAAAATATACTGTGTTTCCCCAAGAATAAGACAGTGTCCTTTTTTCTTTTGATCCCTGAAATAAACACTTGGCCTTATTTTTTGGGAGATCTTATTATTTTTGAGGTGCAGGAAGCTGCGAGTGTGGTCACCTCATAGCTGCTGCTGTGTTGCAATATTTTTGGGGAGGGCTTATTATCCGGGGAGGTCTTATTTTCAGGAAAACACGGTAGTTTCAAGTTGAGATACCCATGTAAACTTTTAGAGGAGGGAGACTTAACAAGTAATGTCAGGCCAAGTTAGCAATTGGAAAATTCCAGGATGGCATAGTAGACTCTCTTGAATGGAAGACCAGTAATGTAGAGAATATAAACAAGCATTCCTCAATAAACAATATAGAGGTTAGAAATGAGGAAATCTTAGTTTCCTGCCCTGAAAGAATGATGCAGCAAACATACTGAAGAAGGACAATGGTCTTGAAGGACAAGGAAGATTCACTACCAAGGCAACAATGGAACAAACTTCAATCCAGATCAAGAAAGAAATTTGTGAAAAACAGTTCAGACAAACCCCCCTTGGATTTATGGCTGTTCATCTAACGGCTGTTTGAATTAACAATGGCCTTGGAAAGGATGCTTTACAACTCATAAAGCACATTCCATCATTAAAATGTCACACACATTCCCCTCACGGTCAAGGGATTGTGATCTGGGCTCTTGGCAATTCGCACCCCATACAAACATATGATCACCATTTGCAATCTTCCATGTCAGCTTGACTAGAAAGTCAATGCTTGGATTTTGACAGGGTGGATTTGCAGCCCTGAGCAGAGAGACATTTGCTTGCAGCTTCTACCAGGCCTCTCCCGGACTCTGTATTGCTTACCTTACTGCTTACTATCTTAAAATCCTGCTTGGATTTTGGCAGGGAGCATTTTCAGTTCAAGTGGAGGAGACTTGCACATGGCCAGCTCTGGGCTTCTCAGGATTGCCCCCTCCCACCTCTGAGGACCCCACAAGATTGCTTAGCAACCACAACCAGGAGTGTCAGGACTGTGGTCATTGAATGTAGCAGCCATGTGGTATCTCACTTAACAACCATTTCACTAAATGACTTGAGATTCAGGTCCCAGTTATGGTCATAAGCTGCGGAGTACCTATAATTTTCCTGAAGATAAAAGAGGAAAGAAAAGTAGATAGCAAATTCCAATTTACAAGTTCTATCACTATAGCTAGTAATGGCTAGTATTACTGTAGTTATATTAGTAATGTTATAATAATACTATAGTTACTACTATCATGGATAATAAGCCCGATCGGGCTTTTGAGCACATGCGCTAAAATACCCCCCCCAAAAAAATAAACCCTCCCCTAAAATATTGCAACACAGCAGCAGCCATGAGTTGACCATGCTTGCCGCCTCCTGTACCTCAAAAATAATAAGACTTCCCTGAAAATAAAGCCAAGTGCTTATTTCGGAGGTCAAAAGAAAATAAAGTCCCTGTCTTATTTTCAGGGAAACACAGAATAGTTTCAAAAAAGTACCTTTTGCTCTGTTCAGCCAGACTTGCCTTACAACCACAATTGAGTCAAAAAATTATGTTGCTAAGTGAGATAGTTTTTAAGTAGGTTTTGCCCCGTTTAACAATCTTTCTTGCCATAGTTATTGATCACTGCAGTTGTTAAGTTAGTAACACGGTTACTAACTCTGGATTCCCCGTTGTCTTTGCTTGTCAGAAAGTTGCCAAAGATGATCACATGACTTTGGGATACTGCAACCATCATAAATACATGCCAGTTGCTAAGCATCCAAATTTTGATCACATGACCATGGGAATGCAGCAACAATTGTATGAAAAAAGGTCATAAGCAATGGTGGGCTCCTGCCAGTTCGCACCGATTCTCCCGAACTATATGTTAGTTTTCTGAGCAGTTTGGAGAACTGGTTGTTGGAAGAAATATTTTCCCACTTTACAGGACTAATTCTGCAAGGAACGCAGGAAGGAAGGGTTCTAGTGTGCCTGTACTTCTAGACTAATCCTTATCTTAATTGCTGCCCCTGCTGCTTTAAGTGTTTTCAGAAACTGCCTCAGGGTTAAACTTTGTTACATTGTAACAGCCTTAATGGTTCTTAGCAGTATACCAAGACTTTCTGTCTGTAGCTGATTTTCTCTGGAGTCCCCCGTGTCCCATCTCCCCCCCCCCTGAGTTTTTTGTTATACTTTTATTCCTAGGGCTTGAACAGCTATTTACAGAAGGGTTGGCATAGCCATAGAAGAAATGGCTGAAAGGCAGGATGCAAGCTTGGCATTATATCTGGTTTTTTTTACTGTCTTTTCTTTAAATGTGGATGATTATTTTAGGATATCTTGTGAGGTGAGTGAGGACAGCTGGTATCTTTAAGTGGTGCAAATGGACCTAATGATTGCTTCTCCTGGGTGTTTTATCAGTTCACTGAGCATAGCAGTCTCTTGTCTATGGGGATTCTTCAGTCACCCAGGTCATGGTTGTCCCATAGGTGCTTTTTTCCAAGAGGCAACAGGACTTTCTTGGTTTCCAAAAAGTCCAGTTGCCTCTTGAAAAAGGACCTTTGGGACAGGAGTTTCTTACATTGCTTCAGAGTGGCCAAGCTACGTGATTGCTCACTGATAATAAGTGGATCCTCCTTCCAATTTCTTATAGTTTGCTCTCATGATATGGCATAGTAACAAGACACCAATTGTAGAGTTAGTACCCACTAACCCGCTCCTAGAAGAATAAAATATTTTGAGAAATATGAAAAAGGAAGAATATATTTCCCTGGATGAGAAATGGAGAAACATGTTTTCTTAGAAGGAGAAAGCAGCCCCCACCTTCCCTTAATAGCCCACAGCAGATGTCAGCACTTGAGATAAAGAAATAGATAGCTATATTCATAGGCAAAAATTCCCTGCAGCAAAGTCTGAAGAAAGACACATGGGATTAGCCCTTATTCAAGATATTAATATGTTATTTTGTCTCTTTATCTCAGCATTTTGTAGCCCAAATATGCCCACCCACTTTCTGGAGAGCTTAAACGACCTCTCTGCTAAAGAGTTTCACTTTATGAGCAAGAGTTGGCTGTATTTTAACTATTTTAATTCCTCAATGTGCTCTAGCACCTTGCCTGATTTACAACTCTGGGTTGCAAGTATTGCTGAGGAAAAGCAAGTATCAGACAGAATGGTTTAGCTTTCCATCTTCAGTGTGTATTCCCCTACTTCTAATTAATGATTGGTATTTAGGGCAGCTTTTTGCAAGCAAAGAACCATTTTGTATTTTTCTACAACAGTAGAAAAATTACAACAGTTAATTTAGTAACCATTCAAAGTTAGAATGGCACTGAAAAAAGTGCCATTATGACTGTTTTTCATACTTACAACCGTTGCAGCATCCTCATAGTCACAAGAGGCCAGGCGAGGCTAAGCACCCCTCGACATGAGTGACATCAAGTTGGCCACACCCAGTGACATGACCACCCAGCCACGCCTACCCAGCCAGTCATTAGGGCAGAGAACTAGTTGTTAAATTATTTGAAGCCCAACACTGGTCGTAAATCACTTTTTTCAGTGTCTTTGTAATCTTGAATGGTTACTAAATGAATGGTTGTAAGCCAAGGACTACCTATCTAGCGTCCCTTTCTTTGTCTGATTTACTGATAGGGTGGACAGCACTAATGTTTGAAGACTCATAAATTCCGAATTACTACCTTTGCTTTCTCAGAAACTGTCGATTATTTTACATGGCTTTTTTCCTAGACTGCAAAAAAATATAGTTTCTAGTGGTGTTTATCCCTGTCTCAGTGGGACTCTGACAATATGACAGTTTGACAGGCCAATAACAGAACACACATTTTGTAGAAATTTTAAAAAATGTTGTCTTGTAAAATATTTGGAGGGTAATACAGACTCCAAATATTTCCTTCAAAAGACTCCTCATTTCCAGGTAACTCTTCGCTGTGATCTGTAAGTAAGAGATGATGAGATTTATAGCTTAATTCATCTGGAAAGATCAGGTTAGGAAAAATCTGCCTTAAGGATATGCCATAGAAGAGAAACAACTCCGGTTTTTTTTTTTGTTGTTAAAAAAAGGCTATTTAAATTTAATAGTTATCAATATTTTACAGGTATAATACAAAATTTGTTCGGTCTAAATATAAAAATAACACAACAAAACAACAACAACAAAAGAGAAGTTTGGAACCCATTATCGCTTACTTCAAAAAGGGAAAAAATGGTGCTCGTTCATAGTTCAAAATTCTGGCCCATTAATACATTTATTTTTTCCCCCCTCTACAGAACTTCTCCTTGCAATGTACATTTTTAATACAATTTATTTCAGAAATGTCTGCTTGTAACCCTGGAAAAGCAGAAGTTTACTCAAATCACCAATGCAGAGGATATGTGCCATTCATCCTTGCTTCGAGGCACATAGTTTTCTCATTCCAAATCAAGTGACTTAATATGGAAGAAAAGTAGGTTTCATCCCATCCAGATGGAGACTCTTCACCCAGAACTCAAAAGAATAATTAGTTCACGCTTTGTACTTTTCATCCCCTTGCTTTAAAGCTTTGTGATAATGAGTATAATCGCGATAGAGTTCCTTGAAAACTTCTCTCACACCTGCTGGTAGAGAAACATTTAAGAATTTGATGTCCCGTTCCTTGCAGAGATCTATGATTTGATAGATCCCTTCTGTTAGATGTTTCTTTACAGCTGGATGCAAAGTCACCTAGAGGGAATATAAATGAGTTTATTAAAGCTTGTTACCAGTGATTAATGACACATATACACTCTCATTAGGGAAGGCACTGGAGAGAAGCATTCATTCATTATCCCACTTGCATTAAGACAAAGATTGTGGAGATATAAAGACTCCAACCTTAACATAATTAGAACAGAGGAAAAGATCTGTGGTGTCTTTACCAAACTGTAGCCTATTTTTATTGTCAGTTTCTTTTTTATGTATTTTTATTCCTCTGTGGGTATAATGAACAACTTCATTATTTAGCAGCCAAAATACAGAACAAAAATAAATATTGCTATAGGAATGCCTGGATGTATTTGTTTATCCATCTCTTTTGAGAAGACTGACATATTCAGATATGACAGCCATTTTTCTTCCAGTTTGATCAGGCTATACCAGGGGCGTCAAACTTGCGTTATCACATGACGTATCACGACTTCCCCCCCTTTGCTAAAATGGGGGCGGGGCTAGCGCGTGACACATCTGGCCCGTATGCTGAGAATGACACCCCTGGGTTATTCCATGAGAGAATGACACCACCGTCCAGACCTTCCGCACAGCCCTCAAGATCTGGCTATCCCATCAGGCCTGGGGATAAGACCCTAATCTCGCCCCACCCGAATACTGAATGAATGTTGTGTTTTATTGTTTTATTTTATTATACTCCACATTTTCTTTTTGTGTTTTGTCTTGCACTCCCTTCCTACAAATTGTAAGCCGCCCTGAGTCCCCTCAGGGAAAAGGGCGGCCTATAAATGTCGAATAAAATGAAAAAAAAAATGAAATGAAATGAGCTAGAATTGTATTTGCAAAAAACTGGAAAAATGAGAAAATACCAATTCAGGAGGATAATAAAATAAAACA